TCTGTGAAACTTTGCATGTTCAATCTGCTTAAGGATTTACCCTTCCCTGAACACCAGACCAAATGGAAGTGAGAGTGGGAATAGACCTAGACCTGCTGCCAGTGCTAAAGTCTTTTATTCTCCCCTGTGGACTAGCAAGATCTTTAGTGGCATTTTGTAGCTTGCTGGCTTTAGTGTAGAAAAGGCCTTTGTAATATTAAATCTTCAAAAGGTGATTTTTTTTTGTGTTGTTTGCCTTTCGTAATTAGGAAACTTATAATTTTCATATAAATGATTGATCAAAGAGCCATTGTCAAAAAACGTCAAGGATTTTCTTTTGTTTGTTTTCTTATAGAATATGAATTTACTTTGGTGAAAGACGGGAGATTATAAATGTATCTATTGATCAGCCAAGAAAATTATCTGTCACATGCATAGCATGGTGGTACCTCCTTGTGGAACCGAGTTCACTGTTTGGTCTTTCATTCCTCTAGAAGTGCTTTTCTTGCCTTTGTGTTCGGATGTGAATGACTCTTCCTTTGCTTTTGTGTTGTCGTAGTCATCTGGCTTCATTTACTGAAGAGGGGGAGGAGGACGCCCACCATGTAAGATTGAACACCAAGTTTCTATGTTGGCAACCCACTGACCTTGTCTCTCACCGTGAGCACTAAGCTGGATGACTGCACTCCTTGTGCTCCTACACTGCTGTCTTGGGAAACACTGTTCTGCCTCCTCACTTCAGAAAATAAAAGAAATAAAAAATCCCAGCCCTTTTCCTCAGAGTGCATTTACTTGAGAATGTTTATTAATTGTTTGCATGGAAATATAATTGAGGTGATAAAAGGAAACAAAGAATTATCTGTGATATCCTTTGAGACTTTACTAAGATCTGGTGGTCACCTGCGAAGACACTGGCAAGGGCCCCAGCCACCAGGCAAGGCTTGTCTCTCTCATGTCTTGAGAGAGCTGTCCCTGGTTGGTACTCTCCATTTTTCCCATGGTTTGTACCTGCTGCATCGAAGGTCCCTGGGTAAGCAACCTGTTTGGATTACAGCTTTGCTCTTTTGGTCTCTGATAGACATGAGGAAGCACACAGATGTATGTGCTTTCCAGAGTGTGCCTAAACATTTTGCTGCTTTTACTTAGAGAAGGCTCAAGAGGGGATGGTTTAATAAAAGAAAAAACAACCCTGAATGAAACGCTTCAGTGCTCTCTCTCCCTGAGTTGATTGCTGCCTAGCCTCAATGAGGAAAGTGGGGCTTTCCCACTTCTGTCAGGGCTGCCATGTACCAGCTGGAAGTGCTGAAATGTCCGCCAAGCCCTGGCTTCGCCTGCTTGAGCTTTAATAACTTCTGTTCTTCTGCCAGGCAATCCTTTAATTAGCCATTATCAGATGACCATAGCTACACCAGTGACTTCGTGGATGAGTACATCTCCCCTCTGACAAGTCCATCCTTCCCAGGAGATGGTTTTCAGGGAGGAGGAGGCTGGAAAGCCAAGAAAAGATGAAGCCTGGCATGATGCTCATAAAGCTGATGCAGTCATGTACTCGTCGGCAGACTGGTCTGCGGTGGGTTTCCCAAGCCAATGCAGCAAGAAAGAAGGCTTGGGGAGAAACAGTAACAAGGCACAATAAACCCATAGTGTGTATGTGAGAGAGACAGCTAGGTTGGCAGGATTGTCTGCTTTTGAGAAAGAAGAATTCATCCTTTTCTATATTGGCAGAAAAATGCGTGCTTTTTCATGGTAAAATTATGTATTCCTTGTCCAACAGTTTTCCAGGTTCCTCTTAAAATACATGGCTGAAGTGGGACATACTGAGAAAACAGGAATATAGTGGCTGGACATTCAACAAGTGTGCATGGGGGTATCATATGGCTTTATGGACCAATAGAGTTCCTGACAATTTGATAGATCACTAGTGGTATTTTTTTATGAAATAGACATAAATAGGAAAAATAAAAGAAAAGAAAAAAAAAAGAAAAGGAGTTTTCTGAGAAGGAGTTTTCTGAGAAGTGGTGAAGGAAAGATACCCATTATGGGACATGATGAAATAAGTTCCCTGGGATTAAACTGATGGCAATATGTTTTAGAGCAGTCAGTCCTGATCAGGTTTAAAAAGGCTTAGTGGATGTAAGCTCCTCTAGAAATACCGATAGAATTGCAATGTTCTAGTTAATAAAATAGATATTTAAAATATTATAGTCAGGTAAATTAAAAAGAATAACTTAAGCTGGTAGGAGAAAAATGAAGGAAATACTGCCAATGAAAAAAACCCTACTTTTCTTCAGTTGCCACCTTAGAGAAAACTATTTTAAACCTTAAATCCCTCTCAGCCTTGAAATGACAGAGTTAACTGGAAATTTACTTGTACACTGCAACCAGATTTAAGCCTTCACTTATTCAGTCTAAATCGCAATCGAGTCATATGTACATTCGCTTTGTCCATGCACACCTGTGAAATAGATAGAGATGCCCTGAGAATTTTATTGGCATGAATCGTGTGAGTTACTCACCCTACATGAGAGCATAGAAGTTGTGCTTTTTGCAAACCATCCTGATATTGCTCCTGCATCCGCAGCAGTACGTGGGTGACACTGGGGGTCTGTTTCATGGCAGCTGTATCTGTGTGCTGCTGATGCACAGTATTTCAGGCATGCTGCAGGTACTTTCTGTATGTGGGGGATCTGGGGAGGGAGGAGGGGAAATGAAGCGATGTAAACAAAGCGTAGCTGAAAGGACCTTTTCGAGAGTGGAATCAGCCACAGGTTTAAAACGTATTGCTCCTGATTCCAGTCTCTTCGGCTTTCATAGCAGGGTCCGGGAGACCTAAGGGGACCCGCGAGGGCTGTCTCGTGCTACCTCCACCCTCACAACCCGGGGGATCGGGGCACCCCCGGCCCGCCCGACGGCCGCAGGAGCGCCGCTGCCCGCGCGGTGGCGCCCTCCGCTCACGGACCGTCCGCGCTGGCTCAGCCCCGCAGCTCCCCGCGCTCCGCGATCCGTTCTGAGGGGGAGTGCGCCCGCGCCCGTCGATGGGGAAGCCCACCGTTGGGGTGTCCCCTTCCCCAGTCCATTCTCTCCCGGGAACCCTTCGCGTTCCTATATGGGGACAGCGGAGTCCCTGCTGCTGCGTGCCCCCTCCGGCCCCGGCATTTCGTCGATGGCCGTTTCACAAGACCAATTTCATTCACGTAAATTTCCTTTATGTCCGGAAAAAGATTTTGAAACCTTAAATGACCATAATAAGAATGTAATTGTATGGGTGTGTTTTTTGTTGTTGTTATTTTTGAGAAATCGATTCGGGCTCGAATAACTCATTCAAGCGTCTAACACCGAACGCATTCAAATAGGAAACAGGAGAACTATATTATTGCTGCTTCCTGAACTCTCTGCTTATGATCCCAGTAATTAAAATGTGCAGTAATGGCAGCCTGTGTTTCTTTGGGTCATTCTCGGAAACGAAGAGCTGATTTTCGGCGGCCGAGGGAGGAGAGCGCGGAGACGAGCGCAATCCCAGCGGATGGCAGCCCGTCGGTGGTCCGCGCCCGGCGCTCCGCATCACCTGGGGGAAAATAATCCCGGCGGCGGGAAAGTCCCTAGAGAAGGGATTTCCCTTCCAGTCCCTCCTGCTAATCAACTTTTTTTTCTTCCTTTTCCTTTTCTTTTTTATCCCCCCCCCCCCCCCCCCCCCCCATCCGTCCCAGTCCCCTCCCGCTCTTCCAAGCGCTGTGATGCGCACCTCTATCTCATTACAAGGAGGTGCGGGGCAAGGGAAGGGGGGGAAGCCTCCCCCATCGCCACAGACAGCCGCAATCGCCCAGCGTGGGACCTTCCCACAGGGCGCCCTTGGGGACCGTCCCCCCCGCCCCTTTGCTGCACCGGCACACGCGGAGCGGTTACGGCGCTGCTGGTTTGCCCCGCGGAAGGGGGGGCCTTGCGTAATGAGAATAATACCAAGATTCCTTCAAAAGAAAGAAAACCAAAAGGCAATAAAAAGAAGTAAGAAGGGGGGGAGATCGACGAAAAAAAGGCACTCCTATTCCCAAATCTCCGTGGCAGTACGGGTTCCGTGCCGGGGCCGCTCCGCCTGCGCTCTCACAGCGGCGGGCAGCTCCGCGGGGGCCTGAGCCCAGCAGCTGGGCCCCGAGAGGAGTGAGCTGGCTCCTCGTCTCCCCGCGGAGGTAAGCCGCGGGGGAAGCCCCCCTGGTCCGGGGACCCCCAGCCCACCCCAAAAGGCCCTCCTCCGCCTCCCTGGTCCCTTTCCACGTCAGGTAAAAGTTGACCGTGGCGATCATCCATTTAGGTTTGTGGGATAGGTAGCGGGGTTTTGCAGGTGTTGCTGTTTGGTTGTTAGGTTTGGGTTTCTTTTTTTCTTTTCCTATTTTTTTTTGTTTGTTCTTGGTGGGGGGGGGGGGTGGAAGGAGGTGGGGTGTGAGTTGGTGTTTATGAGAAGCTTTATGACTCCTGATAAGCTCATCTTTGAGGACGACACAGAACTGTGTTCCTTGAGGAATTGGGGTGGTGACGTCTTTTCTGATACCCGATTATTACGTGACTGGGGGAGAAAAAAAAAAAAAGGCATTTGATTCATGAATAAAAATCCGGACACCACCACGGGGGCAACAAACAATATTGCCCGTCCTCTAAGGTAACAAGCAGGCAAATGTTTACGAAGAGGGCTCTTGCTGAAGCGGGGTGTTTGCAAAGATTTTGTTGCTAATTGCGTATCAGACGGAAGGCTGCGGAAGGCTGGTCAAGTTTGGAGCCACCGAGCAGGAAGAGAAGAAGAGGAGAAGGCTGAAGGCGCTCAGTGAGGAGAGAGAGCCGGGGAAGAGCGCACCGCCCGCAGCCAGCCCGCCGCTCCCGGCTCCGTTCCCTCTTTTCCCTGCGCTCCCTTCGCAGGCGACATCTCCCTCCATCCCTCTCTTCCCCTTCCCTTGCAGCCTCCTGTCCAGATCTGTGCTGCTACCTGCAAACTTTTTCCCATTTATATATTTTCCTCTCTATTTTTTTCTCTCTTTCTTTTCGGAGTGGATTCCCCTAAAACCAGCAAACAACTCACTGCTGCCTTCGCGTCTTCTTCATCCCGCGGTTCCTTCGCCCATCGGAAAGGCGATGCCACGAGGGTTTTAACTCTTTTCGGCCGCAACTTGGGAGACACCTGAATTTTCCCCCACCCCCATTTGGGGTCTTTTTTCTTTTTTTTAAAGCCTTTCTTTTTTTTTTTTTTTTGTCTTCCCTTAAAGACCTGCCCTTTTTGTTTTCGCAGCCAAACGCTCTTACTGCCGGGTGTTTAGAGTTTCATGGTAAGGACACAAGGCAGCTTGCCGGGCCTTCCAACAGTGATCCCGGGGCGGGCGGGCTTGCGGGCATCGACGGGGCAGGCAGCGGCAGCAGCGCTCTGCGTTGGGCACCTCCGCGCCTCTCCGCGCAACTCTGCTGCCCAGGGCTCCTTCCCCCACAGGCTGCGCTGCGCCTCTTCCCCGCACGCTCGCCTGGGGGCTCGGTGTATCGTGGGGTGGTGTTTTTATCCTCCTTTTTCTTTTTTTTTTATTTTTTGACAGCGGTTTTCCTTTCCCTCCCGCACAGAGTGGCAATGTGTAGCAAAGCGCTCCTAGCACTCCTGATCTATGGCATAATAATGCACTGCAGCGTCTACTGCTCACCTGCAGCCGGACTTCAGTACCCGGCTCTCAGGTAGGTCTGTCCCCCGCCCGGGATCTCCGCTAGGACACCTTCACCCACCCCCAACTGCCCTGTCTTTGCTACCGGCTTTGCTATGGGCAGAGGGTTCTTGCCGGGGAGCAAAGTGGAAGGGGATGAGGAGTCACCAAACGAACACCCCCCCGCCCCCCGTCGGCTGTGTGCCCACCCCCTGCTCCCCGCGATAGAAACCGCTGCGAGGGTCGGTCATGGAGGAGGGTCTCCTTCGGCTGCAGCGCAGGCTTTCCCCGCCCGCCCCCTGTCCCGCACAGGCCCCGAACGCTTTCGGGTGCCGAGGGTGAAGGGCGAGCACCGCAGGACCGGACGGGGGGAGCGGGGCGGGAGGGGCGGGTGCGCCGTTGGCTTTGAGCTTGTGAAAGATGCCCTGGTTCGTGTGGGAGCTGACAGGGATTCAGCCTGCTCCCGTGTTTACCTGTCTGTGTACGACCTCCTTACTCAAAAAGTGAAGGAAGGGGCCTGGCACAAGGCTGTTTTGTTTTCTGTGTCGGTTCGGAGTTGTCTTGCTGGGCTCCTGTGCTGCCCCTTTCCACCCGGCAGCCGGAGGGGAGGGTTGCCCCCCACTGTGTTTGAGGCAGAAGTAGGGGACCCCTTGGGCCATCGGCAAGGGAGCGTTTCCCGTGCCGGGCCGTGGCTGAGGGCAGGGGCAGCCCGTCCGGGGAGGCCGCTGTCAGCCTGCTCCCGAGCTGCTTGCCGTCTGCTCGAGAGACCGGTGCTGCTTGACTTGGGGAGTTTGGGACTGGGTGCTGTTGTTCCGCCCCGCGGCCGTTGGCTCAATTCCGGGGTGCCCAGCGAGGGTCACCGCTGTGCGGCTCAGCTGTGAGCGGGGGGCGGTGCTGGGAGCGCCAAGCTGTCAGGAGGCTGTGCTTTTGGGGGCTCCGAGGTGTCCTTGTACGAACCGGCAGCCCGTCGGGGCTGGCTGACAGCAGCCCCTTTCTTTTCTCCGGGCAGAGCTGCTGCGGGGAAGGGGCTCCGTGGTCTGCGGGGCCATTAGCCAGCAGCAACCTGGCTCTCCTCGTTCAAGCTCCTGAATTAGCAGGAGTGAAACACTTTAGCGGCATCTATTATTAATACCTCCGCTAAAGCTCACAGACAAAAATAGCTGCCTGTAACGTACAATGACCTACATCGTACTGCAGAGAGGGAGGCAGAGAGCGGGGGGTGGGGATCGGGAGGTGGGGGGAGAACAAAACTGGCGAGATCTCAAAGGGCAGAGGCACCATTCAACGAAAGACAACTACAAGTGAATCCTCCCCCCGGCCCCGCGGGGGCTTGCGGGGAGGAGCGGGACCCGGCCCCCGGCTCCAGCCCCGGGGGCTGCCGCTCACCGCCCCGGCTCCGCGGGGAGGCTGCTCGGCTCCTGCCCAGCCCTTGGCACACAAACGCGTGTGTGTATGCGTGCGGCAGGGTGCGTGCGCTACGCTCGGGAACCACAAGCGGCAGCTTGCGGTGGAAAGGGGCTGATTCTCGGCCCGGGGGAGTCGGGGATAGGCGTGATGTTTGGGGCTTTTCTCGGAGCGCGTCTGACAGCGGTGTGTTCCCTCCCCCGTGGTCCTGCCCCGCAGAGGCGGCGGAGGGCGGGGATGGGGGACGGGCGGGCTCAGGGAGGGGTCGGGGCAGTCGGACGGGGTTCCCTGGGAGCCCGGGTAGGTTCCGCGGAAGGGTGGCCACCAAGGCACCGCGACCGGAGCGCCCCGCGGAGCCCGGCTGACTCCTTCCCCTTGGTGCTCTCGTTGCCAGGCTGGAGGATGAGGTCTACGACGAGGATGGGAACACCCTGCCGGACTTCGCGTATGATCACGAGCCCCTTGGTATAGCGAATCCGTCCTCCATGATCGGCGAGATGTACACCTTGTATTACCCACCGGAAAAGAGGTGACTGCAACTCGCGGGGTGTCAGGCGTGAATTTTGAGGCGGGAGTAAAACGGGTCTTACCGATCGGGGAGGTGGAAATAATAATAATAATAATCATCATCATCAAATAGCCCACAGCAATAGCAACCTCCCTAACACTCACAAAAAAAAATATCCTGAACCCAAACCACCCTGTCTAGGTCACGATGCCCAGTTTAAAGCCTAGAACAGGAAAAGCCGCCTTACCTCCAGCAGCCAGGGGGAGGGAGCGGGGCGGCAGCCGCGCCGGAGACGGCTAAAGATGCTCCCGCAAATGGAAGAGAAATCCCCAGCCGGGCCGGAGTCGACCAAGTGCAGTGAAAAGGGCTCTGGGTGGGGAAGAGGGTCCCCGAGGAAACGGGGAGCTGCCACCTGCCCTCCCCTCGCCGGTGGGGACAGGCGGTCATAGCCACCGCCCCGGCTTCCGCACCCCGCAGCGGCCACTCACGGGCCTCGCCGCTCATCCGCGGGCTCTTTCCTCCGCACAGGCACGCCGATGGGATCTTCAACAAAGCCTACAGGAAACTCCTGGGCCAGCTATCCGCCAGGAAATATCTGCACTCCCTGATGGCTAAGCGGGTCGGGTAAGGGTTTCTGCTCGTTCTTTCCCGCGGTGGGCGTTGGTGCTGCTGCCGCGGAGGCGCGGAAAAGGCCGCGGCTGGAAGGAACAAAGCTGCCGGGCTGGGCCTGGGAATGTGCTGCGGCGGCTCCGGCGCTGGGGGACTCCGGCTTCCCAAACCTCAGCATCCCCCGGGACCTGCGGCAGGCACAGGGGGAGCCTGGCTGTCAGCGCAGGCGTTCGCGGAGGTTGCTTTGGTTTAGCACTCTCGGGCATATATATATGTACGTATGTATATGTATACGTGCATTTATATGTATATGTCTCTGCAGTTCTTTGCAACCATCTGATTTAAGATTATAAATTGGGCAGCTTCCCCCTTTTGCTGTGGGGGGACAGTCTGTCGGAAGCGATGCCCGAGGGCTCGGCTGAAGCGGGGGGGGCCTGGGCCTGGCTGCAGACCCGCGCACCCCTCCGAGGCGGGCGGGGCTCCCCGCGGCCGGCGGGGCAGGGGTGAGCCCGGTGCCACCCGCCGCCCTTTGGCAGAAGGTAACATGTTAATAAAGCCCCGGGGAAAAGCCCAGCTTTCCCTGCCTTTATGAATAATTCATGGGAGGAGATATTGTCTTGCCACTTGTGCGCACGACGTCGGGAGATGGGTTTCGGCGCGGCCTTTGTCTCCCAGCGCATCTTCCGCGCAGCGTGTGGCGGCGGGGTAGCGCAGGGCCGGGGGAGGCGCGGAGGGGTGCGGAGCTGCCCCGGCTGATGCAGCTGTGCTTCTCGGTGCTTGCAGCGGTGGCAGCGGCGGCCCGGGGGACGAGACGGAACCGCTGACCAAGCGGCACATAGACGGCATCTTCACGGACAGCTACAGCCGCTACCGGAAACAAATGGCTGTCAAGAAATACTTAGCAGCCGTCCTGGGGAAAAGGTATAAACAAAGAGTTAAAAACAAAGGACGCCGAGTAGCGTATTTGTAGCGATGAGTAACCAGCCACTCCTGTGTATACAAAGTCCTAAGAGAGAGAGAGAGAGAAAGAGAGAGAGAGAGACCCAACAACAACAAAAAATCTAAACAAAAACAAAAGTAATTTCCAAACTGACTGAACAATCACCGCTCCTGTGTTACCTAAACATGTATTTATGTATGAAGTAAAGCCATTAAATGAATATTTTGATAATAATATTGTTTTTCTTTTGTACAAAAGCACTAGAGAAACGCACAGTTCTACTTTGTGGACCAATCATTAAGTTATATATAATATATAAATATATATATATAAATACTACTAAGAATACTAAAGAACAATTCTTCATATAAAGCCTGCACAAAAACAAAAATTCGCCTGAGCTGTTTATGTTTTTATAGAAAATAAATAGGAAAAAAAAAAAGGACAATCATTGTTTTGAATATTATTCCTATTTTTGTAACGGAAATTAAAAGGATAGTATTTTTATCCGCGACAGGGTCGAAGACATTAATTTTCACCATTTGCTACTGTACATAGAGAAGGATGCCCTGCTCCCAGGGGATTATGAGGAAAATGATTTGGGAAAATTGGCGAAGCAGATTCTTCCCCCGGTGAGTCCCAAGGCAGGCTCCTTTGCCACTAGCCTCTCTGGAGAGGCAACTTCCCTTTTCCTCTAGATTTCGATATTTATTTTTTCTCCTCCTGCTATCTTTGATTCAAGTTGTATCTATATTAGTGTCTCCTCAAACAATGAGCTTAGAAGATAATTCTCTTGTGAAAAACAACAGCTCGATCCAAATTGTTCATCTTAGTTGCCTATTGGAGGGAGAAATAGTTAAAAACGAAAACAAAACCAAAATAGCAAAAAAGAAAATTCAAAACAAAAAAATAAGCCAAAGCCAACCCCCACCCCCTAGATCCCGAACCAGCAGCAAAGATAGTAAGTACTAAGCCCCGTGCACTGCTCTTCTGGCTGGCTGGGCAGAGTTGCAGAACAAAGCGAAAGCGGAGATAGGACCCGTGTGGAAAGAGCGGGGAAGTGAGCGGCGGCGGCCCCCGGCGTCCCCCGAGGCACCCGGGGCCGGCTCTGGTACCGATGTCGGTGCCAGAGCCGGTGCCGCAAGGTGTAGGGAAGACGAGGCAACCCCACCTCCGATCCGCTACCCAACTGCCCCGAGCAGCTCGGTACTGGACCTGGATGCAAAGTACAGTGTGTTACTCTCCAGTGCTGTCCATGCTTTTCATCATGTGTAACAAGCAGGGTTCTCGCCTTTGCAGTTTTTTTTTCTGTCGGACTTGCTCTTTTCTTTGACTGTTTTATCTTGTAGACCCTCCTGCCTCTCATCCTCTCTTCGTACTTTTCCGAGCTCTGTTTAACCCACCTGAGTAACCTTTTCGGGTTATGTTCTTTTGAGGAACAAAAAGTAAAAAAAAAAAAGATAAAAAAAAAAAAAAGATTGTGAACGCTCTCTCACTCCTTTGTTCTGTTTTATGCAAGCTCTTGTTGTACAAGTTTAGGAACCCCTGTTGTAGCTACCACTAAAGACTTATGCACTACTATGAAAGTTTTTGTTCCTTGTTTATTGAGTTTGGAGGTAAAATGTATTTTTCTACATTCTGGCTTATTGCTTAGTAAAATTTATTTCATAAAACAAACTTTTGTCATAAAAGAATGTGTAGTGTTCACCTGTGGTCCGGTTTCTAACGAGATAAACCATTTCCACCTCATCTCTCTATGTACGGACTCCTATCTTACCTTCCGCCGGGGGCTGGCCCCATCCCTCAGCTCGGGCAGGGGTCGAAGGAGGACGCGGAGGCTCCCGCCTCCCCCCGGCTCACCACACCAACCTTTCAGGAGTCTTTCCAAAGACACAAAGCGAGCCCCGCATTCAAGACGCCGGAAAGCAGTCCCTCACCCCCCCAGACCAAATAAGTCGCGGGTAAAAACCTCCTTCCCTGGCCGGGGAGGAGGGAAGCGGGCAGACCCTGGCGGGGCGGCCAGACGCTGCCGGCACTGCTTATCCGCACTGCCAGCAGTGCCGACACCTTTAACCGGGCTGCCTGGCCCCTCCGGGGCTCGCCCGTGCTGCCAGCAGTGCCGGTAGCGCCTGCCCGTGCTGGCCCGGCAGCTCCCCTGCCCGTCCTGCCAGCACCGGCGCGGGCTCCCGAGGCGGAGGAAGGCGGGGGGGAGGGAGCAGTTTGCAGCTTTCGTGCCTTCTCTTCACCTTGTAAATCGCCACGAGTTCACAGATGGCTATTTAGTGGCCCTACGATGCTGCAACACATCGGCTTGCGTTTTAGTCGTACTTCTCTGTTCTGTGGCAATGGGCAGAGTTCTCTGTGTTTGTGTCGGCTGTGGTATAATTGACATAGGGCTCTCTTGACGTTTTATTTATGACCTTATCAGTTAGAGTTCAGTGGCTAGTCGCAAGCATTATGAAATGATCACCTAGGTTATTATCCTTTGTATGACTTGTCTATTTTTAGAAACGCCAACAGCCTTACCAAAATCTGAGAAGATTTCAGATACAGTCATAGTAGGTAGATGTTAGTCTTGGAGAACTTATTTTGTGTGCAAATGAATATAAAAAGAACTTAAACAAAGTATTATTACACACATGATATCTATAACTAGGACTTTGATAACTGTTATACAAAGTGTGTAAAGTTTGTATTAATAAATTTTTGTAAACAATGCAATTTCGTCTAATGTTTGGGGGAGAGAAATCTAGAACCTCAGTGAAAGCTGCATTTCATTCAATATTTTTCTTTCTTTTTTTTTTTTTTCCCAATTAGTTCCTATTTAACTTTTCATGTTTTTCATATATTTTTATTAAGTCTCCACGTTTTACCATCAGATAACCTCTGACACTTTAGCTGGTGGTTACTCCTCTGTTCGAGTAAACTAAACAGAAGTAAAAAGCCTGGTTACACACTCACCAGCTCAATAATACTCTCTAAAATATGCGAACAGAACCAGTCTGTGCCTATCGCCCATCCTTCTAACAATTCCTGTGCTTAGAAGCCGTTTATTTTAAGCGGAATAGGCATGTTTGATCAGATCTTCACCTAATCCTCTTTTAATGAACATTCTGCATGTGATAATGTTCTTCCCAGAGTCACCCGGCTTGGGCATCTTTCTTTGGATTAAAAAAGATCTTGGGCTGTCCTACAAAATGGTCCTGAAGCGCCAGAAAGAGTTACTTAAGCTTTGCAGGGTGATATGTGGCTACAACGAAAAAGCACAGACAGGATGGTTTGTTGGCACCATCAAAGCAGAAGTTGGGGTATCTGACCTTTAATCTTCACTATAGTTTAGCAATAGCTGTTTATGCTTATTATTTTTATTGTAGCTCAGGGACTTTACCCAAGCATATTGGAAAGTTACAGCAATTTATTTTAAACTAAACCCTATTTCCTTCTAAGATCATAAAATTAAAAACCAAAGCACAGGAATTAAATGACAATTTCCTAGCAATTTATTTTTCAAAACTCTTAAGTCCAGGATTTAAGACAGACTGGTCATACCCCCTCTGCCAAGAATTCACCTCCTAGGCTAGTTTCAGCAACAGTGTTTTACTGACTAATTTGAAAACACTGAGAGAACTTAAAAGGCTGGTGATATCAGAAGTATGGGTCAGGAGCTGGTGGAAAGCAAGATTAACGTTCTGATTAAGTGCAGATTGGGTCAGAGAAGAATGTAAAAGAAGTAACTATTGAGGGAAGGGGAGAGGGCAGTGATTTCTCAGACTTTCACAAGAAAATCAAGTCACTGTTTCTCAAAGGCAGCATACAGTGAAAAACTGCTGTTAGGTTTATTTAGTAATTATGCAGTACTCATAATCACACTGCATTTCCTGCTCATCTAAACTGAAGATGTGCTTACAAGATCCAAGCTGAAGACCTTCATGGTATTGGTATCTAGGGACTGAAACTTGGGACTGGTCCACCTGGAAAATAAGGTCCTCTCCATCAAGTCCTGGCACTTTTTGAAAATGTGCAGGAGATGGAAATTGTGCTGGAAATGACATAGAGATGGTCCTAGCCTCACTCTACTGAAATTCCTCTTTACTGAAACAAGTATGATTTAATGAAGAAACTCAGTTCTATTCCCAGTGATATAAACTGCCATCTGAAACGATACACTTGGAAAATGTGTGATGTTGAATCTTATAGCATGAGTTTTGTGGGGATTGCTGATGTTCTGTATCCTGCTATCTGACTAGCAGCAGAAATGGAGAAAGCCAGCTGAGGAAATGAGAATGACTAAACAAGACATGATTTTTGGAACCTTGCATTGTAAAAACCTCCTGACATTCAGCCAAAATGACAAACTCCCTTTAGTTAGTAAAGGAGGCTGAACAGAGCAGGATATACTGCTTCAAATTCCAGCCCTCAGGAACATAGTGCAACACCATATCTGTCACAGAGGTCATCAAAACCCAAAGAGCTTGAAAAAAACCTGTTTCTGTAGATCCCTGGTGTAAACCTGGCTATGGGCAGCATCTGCCTCACAAGATTTGCTTGTAAGGGTGCTGACCTCCTCTCCATGTGCCTCCAGAGCCTTTCAGCCTTCTTCGTCATCTTCCAAAAACAATAATTAAATCACTGTATATCTTTCACCTAGAGTTAAGAAAATAGAAAATCAGGAGGAAGTTTGATCTTTGGGGGGCTTGTTACTTGATACTTCAGCAGCTTGGTTTCAAATTCTACTATAAATCACTTAGTCTTTCTCCAAGAAAAACCTCCAGGGAAAGCATATCCCTGAAAACTTTAAGGACCTCATGCTTAGCCTCTAGAAGTACATGTCCCCTTAAATACACTCATAGATTTTTAAGACCCAAGGGTACTCTTATGATCATCTATGCCATCTTGTATAATACAGGGCATAGGATTTCATGGAGTCCTTCATTTAGCATTTAATATCTGAGTGAGCTATTCTGTATGACAGCAGTATGGATTGCAAGACTTGCAGGAATGGCAAATTTTCTGGATAAGTTGTTCCAAATGTAGCAGTTTAGCATTCTGTTCCTTGTTTCTGTTTGTCTCATTTTTTGAGTCCAACAGATTTGTAGTCTGCTGAAGAATCTCTAATGCCTGTAGATTTTTCTCTCCATGTAGGTAGTCTTAGGCAGAGATTTACTCTCCTCTCTACCTTGTCTTTGAGATAGCAAGTTTGATCTTCAAGTGCTCACTGTGAGGGAGGCTTTCCACAGATGGTATTATTTCTGAACCATTTGTATTTATTAACACCTTGCTGAAGTGTTGAAACTAGACATGGTTACAGGACCTGGCAGTGACCACCTCAAGCATGTGGCAAAAAGCAGTAACTTTCCTCTTCTTCCCCAGGTGCTGAACATTGCTAACAAGGGTTGCATTTGCTCTCCTGTCCATTTCCTTATGCTGGGAGATCGTGATCTGTTCACAGTCCTCTCCCACACCTATCTTCTTTCCAGATGGTTACTTTACATGCACAGAAGCCATGGTCCCAAAGTGACACTATTGCTGTTGATTCATATTTTGTACTACTTTGTGTTAAGTTGTACTAAAGCACTTATTCGAGAGACTTTACCTTACTATCTTCTATTCTGGGAGGCATTCAATTTTTTTTCACAACCACCATGCTTTATCATCTCAGCTGTCTCCTGGCACCCATTACTGCCACCTTTAGCAGGTGTAGACACGTTCCACCAATGCCAATTGTGTATCTGTGTATTGTGTGTGATACATGACCCCAGCCCAGCTCTGGTGCAGATCTTTTTCTTTCAGAGAAGGACTGATCCCAGTCTAAGTGCAAATCCTGGGAGAGAGCAAGTCAGAGTGACTTGTAACAGGCTGCTGTCAAATCTCCTTCTTTTGCACTTGGGTTCCTAGAGGCAATCCCACCCTGGCATAGCTGAGGTCCTATTCGCTGTAAACCCATATGACACATCTGGAAATGCTTTTGCTAAAACAGACCGTGGCTCAGTTACTTACCTGGAATACACAGAGAAGTAGTACATGATGCATCTATGGTAATGTGGTTGAACTGCTAAGGCAGAATAAGTGCAAAACAAAGCATCTTTTGCAATAATTGGTTAATTGACTGTCAGTGGGATTTATCCAAGCCTAAAAATGCGATTTAGTTTTGAACATGGATATTTGAGGATCAGAAATATGCCAGCTTACAAACAGTGGAGATAAGCATCGTATGTTTCCCATTTATACAAGGGTGTTTGTTTCACAATTTCAGTAATGAAATATCTAAGATAGATATATTGATCTCTGAAACAGTATTGTTTCTCTACGTGAATCACAGAGAGAAAATCTCTTTCTCTTCAGGCTCTGAGATGAGTTTCAGATATTCCATTTCAAAAAGAACCTCATGAAGATTTATGGTAGTATGAAGTAGAGAAGTTGCACAGAACAGTGGCAGTCCCTTCTGGTTCTTCTGTAGTGCTCCCCAGCACCTCAGTATCAGAAGACGGGGAACCATAGAGGTATAACTGGATGAGAAAGCATACAGCACAAACAAATGCCTCCAAGCTGACATCCCCAGAATGGAAATGTGAACTGAAAAAAGGAGAGTGACATTGAGAATTAACAGTTTTATGAGAAATGGAATTTTCATTGCCATCTTCCACAGATCATTCAAAACAGGCATCCAGGTTGGGGCCTGTGTTTCTCATTTGCTGGGTCGACCATTTGAGAATGAAGGGCCTGCTGATTTCAGACAGGTGTTAAAGGAG